CACACACACACACACACACACACACACACACACACACACACACACACCTCTCTCTGCTCCAAAAACTGGGTCACACTGGTTGGCACAAAGTTTGTCCTTCAAGCAGTGAGACGTAGGAGAGGTAGTTCAAGGTCTTTCTCGGTCTTGTCTCAATGGGGGGGTCTGGAGAACTCTGAACACGCCACCAGTGAAGTCCCCGTCCCGCTGCAGCTGAAGCTACAGAAACCAGTCTCAGTCAAGAGTCCGAGATTGGACGACAAACGCCATCAATCAGCCGCCTCGAAGGCCACCAGCCCTGGGATAAAGAGGAAGGCTGCAAATCAGTTCTGTGAATGCCGCCATTTACACTGCCTCTTTATGGGCTGGGGGGGTGGGGGGGCACTCTAACATGACTCAGCACCTTTTCGAGGGAGTTGATTTACAGGCCGAAGCAGCAAAGTGAAATGACGACGCCGTGGCTTCCAGGATAGCCAAGGAAGAAAAAACATGGGGGAAATTAAAGTTAAATTCCAGTTACAACACATGATTCCAGTGTGGCTTTGCAGTAATGTTGTGGGTAAGTCTGCCTGGTGGTTTATGGTTTATTCTCCTAAGTCAAATGAAGTTTATTATCCAACAGAGAGACACAAAACGTTTGGGAGTGCCAGTATCTTATAAACACTGAAAGTGGCTCCTTAGAGGCCACAATTCTAGTTAATCTGCATCTGTGGCGGATGCTCAGCAGGTGGTCATCCATCATAGGCCGAGCTGCCATCTCTCTCTGCGGCCCGTCAGCCTGCTTCCCTCTATATTTTCTTAACAACGCCTCACGTCTGGGACCAGAAAGAGACAGAAAGCTAGAGGCCATCCATCACTGTCCGCGCTGCCTCTGCGTGAGGATGTCACTCCCTCTGGACACGGCAGCTAAAACCGAACTCGGCCGACCGGCCGACTCTTTGGACCGTTTACTTCCAAAATAATCCTCCCTCGCATGGCGCAAAGCAATCCAGGGACACCTCGGGAAAATGAAACTGGTACGAAGGTTTAGCGCTTGGCAGGGGGGAGTGGGGGGTGCTCATCAGTTTCAGACACAAATGAAAACAAGAGAAAGAGAGAGAGAGAGCTTTGTAGATTGAAATATCTACTCCTAGTAAGTCCTGTCATAAATCCACAGAAATGGGATGGCTACATTGAGTTGGCAGTGACCCGATTTAGCCGCATTCCGATTTACCGTATAATGTACCAAAGAGATTAGGGTTTCGCCTCCAGCTCTGTAATTACAACAAAAACCCTTATCCATGATTAAGATCCGCCGCTAACTCCCACACAGCAGGAGCGTGTTAACATGCACACACAGCGAGGTGCACGCTGCGCTGCGTTGTGTGCGGCAAGCTGCAGCCAATTCTTTACGTCAATAAAAGTCTCACCCAGAAACGCTCGGTTTCAGACAATCAACACAAATCAAAGCAGCAACTTGTCAGCGGTAATGCGAGAATGCTTGCATAAAGAAACAAACTTCAAGAACAAACCAAAAAGTTCAGAGTTTGGTTCGGTTCAAATTGAAACCACATCTTGTCCAAAAGGCTCCACTTACCTGTTAATGACACCCTGTCTTTAGCTTCTGGAGGCCTTAGAAAAGCATGGCGGATGGGTCGGTGGAGCATCCCAGGAGCTCACACCGGTGAGCAGATCTTCGTCCTCTCTCCGTCTCTCTCTTCTCCAACACTGAGGGCATGAAAAACAAAAGAACAATGCATGTTGTTGAGTCGGCTGAAGAGAAGCAGTGGGACCTCTACCACTGTGGAGAGTTAGAAAAACCTGAAACGTGACAAGTGTGTTTATAGAAGTCAGCGGGAAAGAGGAAAATCTGAGTCATGAAGGCTTCGCATGGAGGAAAGTCCAGACTGAGGGGATTTTCCATGTCAACAAGAGTGAAGACCAAAACTAGCCCCGTGTTCACTTAAGTATCACCCCCCCGGGTACAGTAAAAAGATTATCCTTTCATCAAAGTTCTTTCTATCATCATATAAGGTTTAAAGTTATGACAAATAAAGATTCCAACTGGAGAAATACCTGTTAACGATATAAAATCAAATTCTGCAAAAGAAGGTACGAAGCACACTGTCGCCATCTGTAAAGAAGGGCAGTCCATCTGTATTTCATTAAACTGGTGCATTAGTGGTAAAGCAATATCTAAGTTTGATGTAGAGGAGCATGAGACAAGATGAAAAGTGCCAGAGGTGAGCAGACCAGACAAACATTATCTCAGACTGGCTGTTATTCAAATTACATTTGGCACCATCATGTCTTCAGAGGGGGATATTGTCTCTAGTAGAAGGAACAACTGACACAAGAATAATGTTGCTGCAAATGTGAAAAGACAAAATCTACTGCGTTTTAAACCACTGCACTCAACTTAAAGGCCAGTTTCTCAAGGTGTAAATTGTCCCTCCTCGTGTCAACGTATAATTGAATTGCATAAATAAATGCAGGACCTAAGTGTTGGACTAACTACCAGTTGTGCCTCAAGAGATCATATTTCCCAAGTACCACTGTACATGACTTATTCAGACCGTATTCAGAGACCAACACACAGCTACAATGTTGTAACTAGAGCTGTGCAATAAACTATAATGATGATATATAAATGTCTATAAACTGACAGCAGTTTACACAAAGTTCAATAACCAGCAGACCATCTTTAATCCGGTTTAATTACTGGATTGCCAGCTAAAGATGGAGAGACAGCTCGACAAAGGAAATACTTTACGTGCAGTGATGTGGAGAGAAATGTTTTATTTCTCTTGATATGCTCCAGCTGTTACCTCTACCAGGGAGATCACTTTGTGTTCTTGGTCCCATTTGTTTGTACGCTGACAGAATGTCTCTAAAACAGTTGTATATTTTAAAAAGGCACAGTTTGACGTTTTGGGGTTATAAAGAGGCCACATCAATAGATAGTCCTGCAGTAAAACGACAATGTCACATTTCTATTTTATGTTTACGTGTTAAACACATGAGGTAGAATCATCCTAACTGTTTCCAGTCTTCATGCACACTCTGAATACTTTATCTCTGTAATAACTAACCCTCATGCATATCATTTGAGGAGTAGCAGCTAACTGGTTAATGTTTTATCAGCAGGATCGGGGTTGTTTGCTAAAATTCACATCACCAACTGCCTGCAGGGTAACTGCAAACTGTCCGGGCTTTACTTAAAGATAAACAGACCTTCAGCTCTCCCATCTGTGCCTCACATGCTGGATAAATATGTTACAGACAGATGGAAGTGCTGAGGACACTGTGGCTTCCCACATGTAATGCAGCTCAATCCAGATGGCTTTAGGACGGCTTCCTACATGTCGCACTGGGATAGAGCCTTAGTGTACACTCTGGAGGAAAACCTTAAGAGTTGTTCGTTTTAAAAAACAGACAATCGAACCGCAGACCAGAAACAGATGTTTACTTAGGAGGGCCGCTCCCCTCACCTGCTATTCCAAACTGAAAAAGGAAGACCAAACAGCATTGGGAGGCGTACGGAAAGAGGAGCATGCAGTGAATGAAGAGAGAGTCGATCACCATATCATTACATTATTCATCTGCTGACAGGCGCCTTCAAAGACGGCCTTCAACACCGCTGAACCTCGCTATGGGCCTTTTAATCGACCCACAAATCAATCAACAATCAATGAAATGGAGATAAGACGACAAGTTAACATGTTCTCGTCAATCAGAGGGTAAAGACATTCGGGAGAAAGTCAGAGAGAGTTGAAACCTCTGAGAAAGTTCCTTCAAAGGAGACGTGAACCGCTTTCATGACGATTCAAAGCAGATAATATGTGAACAGCAGTGAATGGAGGCTCTTCTGTGTGATTTGGGGATCTCCCAGCTGGCTTACTTTAATAACCAAGTGTAACAAGTAATACATGATGTATTACTGGAGGTTTCATAAGACACAAAGAGCAGTAACACATTGTAATATACAGAAAGATTTTTTTAGCTCCTAAAATGTCAAATCCACCTCTAGAAACACATGATTTGTAATAGTTTTTGCAAGTTCTTTTCAGTGTTTTGCGCAACATCAGCATCTATTTGGAGTTGTGTTTGTCTCCACCAGATAAATATTCACTCTCCTTTCAGCTCTGTTTTGCAACACCATGCAGAACATTATCGTACAAATACGATAGGAATTCATAAACACATTTAAATCAGCTAGATCAACGACTAGCTGATTACATTCATAAACACTCAACATTAGTTTGAGCAGTTGTACGTGTTTGAGCACAGGAAGTCTACAGCTACACTGCTCAATACATTTAGGCACCGATTGGGAAGAGCAGTGTAATGGAGGGGAAGAAATGAGAATAAATGAGGTTCAGCGTTTGCCAGGCTCACTCACTCACTCTCTCACACACTCACACACACACACACACACACACACACACAATTAAGGAACAGGGAGGCGGCCCACTTCTTCCCTTTCTACTGCCACCCACAGCACTTACGGTTTATTATCCTAATGTTCAGCCATGTGCCAAAGATTCCCGACAAGTTGAGAACCACCAGCACACCCTGAACAAAGGCCGCTCAGGAAACAGGGAAGTGGTGCAGCATGAAGGGAAATCAAACGCACAGATGTGTTGACAGTTCTGTACTCTGGATATCTGAGACAATAGTACGAATGCCTATTAGGAACAACTGCAAACATGCCATTCGTTCTCATTTTATAGCTGCTTGCTTGTACGTGGTTGTGGTCAACAACATAACAGCATGAATGTAGAGGGGAAAACAAGTTATTGAGAAGATTGAACGTTCAAACGGCTGTTTATTTTAAAGAATGAAATGGGCAGACGGTGGGAAGTGAATCCGCTGGGAATACTGGCGTGTCTGCGTTGTTTGGACAGTGAAAGATGGCCCGCATGCAAAGCATCACATTCCATCTGAAACAGCCACAAGACCTCTGTATTTTCTCAGACATCCTCATCTAGGATCATCCAGGCCAGACCTCAAACATCCTCCCACATTTTAGAGAAAACTCCATTTGCACTGCAGCGAGAGGAGTGAGGGGTTGAGGATGAGGAGGAAGAACCAGGAGTTAGCGAAGAGGGTGGTGATCTCCTGGAACAAATGTATCCAAAGCCTTGTAATTAGTGGGCAACTAGATTGTTGGATAATTGGCTTGACCTTATTGGTTGGATATTAAAATATACTGTATGTCACAATACGGCAAAAAACACATTAAGTCTATGAAAAGACTTGAGTGGTCTAAAAGAGATGCTTGAAGTTGATCTGAAGTAATTATCATCAGAAGGTAAGTACACTGTTGGTATACATTACATATTTAAGGTATAAGTGTCTAATCAATATCAAACTAATGACATAAAAGTGTCATAAAACTGTTCAGTTTACTGCAACAGAGTAAAGAAACCAGAAAATATTCACATGTAAAAAGCTGGAATCTTACAAATTTACTTAAGCCAATTAATCAATCATCAAAAAAGTTAATTTAAGAGTAGTTAAATAGTTCACAACTAACGGTGACGGACAGATTAACTACTTTGTTTGAAATACTCTCCCATCTCTCAGCATCTCTGATTCCTCCAGACCCGCCTCCCCTCTGCCTGCGTAAGCTCTTATGCAACGTTGTGACGCAGCGACTGCCCGACAGTGCATCCGACAGTGCATCCCACCGTGCATCCCACCGTGCATCCCACCGCCCACGTAGCTTCTGATCCGCACCCTCGTTCTTCCCCGACACCTCTTCACCTCTCAAGTCAGCATGCCTCCCACCTCACGGTCAGCCTCTCCACTTCAAAAACTTCCCTTCAGGACTGCGTGTCTTGTATGTTGTTTCTGTGCACATCAGTGCCTGTGTTTAATCCAGTGTGTGTGTGTGTGTGTGTGTGTGTTTATGTCCATCTCGTGGCCCCTCAGCAGGAGATTATAATCAGGGCAGAAATCACAGAGACGAGGAGGAGAAATGTATTTAAAAACACTAAAAACAACCGGCCTCGGGGAGGCGTCGTCCCACTTACACACTGCACCTCTAACTGCAAGATAATTAAACAAAAAGGATGAAGACCGTTAAAGGCATGTTTAAAGATGGTGAAACTGTTTTTGTTTCTTTACTTTAAGCTTTGTTTTTCTTACCTCCTCTGACTTCTTTTTAGCGATGTCACCACATTTTTAGGGGTTGATGGACAGGACAAAGGGATGTGTGGTTGTTTGTGGGGTTTTTTCCTTGGTTGGGGACAATTTTTACTCTGATGAAACAACTCCATCTTTAACTGCGGACCTTTTTTATTCTCATGTTCCTGACCACAGTCTGTGAGAATGACTGTGGGCTTCACCACCAGCAGAAGGTGTGGGATGGATTACAGCAGGACAGCGGGCAGTTGACACAGCTGAGGAGTGAAGTGAGTGGGAAAACGACGGCGGTGGTGGTGAGAGTCAAGAGAGGCTCCAGGCCTGTACTTCAGCACATACAAGCCTCCCTGCAGCAGCTGTGAATGTCAAGATCACACTAACTGCCTCCGCGGATCACCGGGAACACGGTTGTTTTTCATGCTCGCAGAATCATCCACAAGTGACAACAGAGGATGCAGCACGCTACGTGTACATGCTACGTGTACATGCTACGTGTACATGCTACGTGAAGTATTCTCCTGGCACAACTTACTTTTGGGATGAAGGGCCAAACATAGCAAATTCAGAAGTGCTTTAAACTTGCATTCTCTCTAGTGTCCATCAGGGGGCGACTCCTCTGGTTGTATAGAAGTCAATGAGAAAATGACTCTACTTCTCTCTTGATTTATTACCTCAGTAAACATTGTAAACATGAGTTTATGGTCTCAATCTCTAGTTTCAAGTCTTCTTCAATACAGCATGATGTTCATTTAGTAAATGATGGTTTACATAAAGCAGAGTATGCTTCAGGGAGGGGCTACATTGTGATTGACAGGTCTCTACCAGAGCTGTATACATCGTCTCTACGTCACTCCTTCTGTCGTCCAAATAAGTTCACTTCCGCTCATCGGTTGCAAAAAAGCCAAGATGGCGACGACCGTAATCCAAGATGGCGATGGCCAAGACGCGGAACTCGAGGCTTCAAAACGGCAGTCTACAAACCAATGGGTGACGTCACGATGATGATGAAACATGATGTGTTTACCACGGTGTCCGTTCTACTACTATTCTTTATTTTTTAATGGTCATGTCAAGAGGTGGACCGACCGACCGACATAGACATCGTAGAGCCATGGCAAATCTAAAGTGCCCCGTAGTTCATACCAGAACTGATGCTAAATAAGTAATTCAAAGACTTCAGAGTCCACTTTCAAGATATTCTGAATAAGAACTGCCCCTGCTGCCACTGTCCATGATGGTGACTTTGCTGTCAGGGCAGCAGACTCTGAACATCTTATCTGGGCTGTTTACGAAACTGTAAATCTAAATCAGTACTGCAGCGGTTCTTTGGGAGCCGTTCACAAAGTGGCTGCAGGAGAAGAAGCAGCGACGTGGTTCAATCCTGAGGGGAAGAAAACGTTTGGGAGAGATTTTAAAAATGAATGTGGGTACAGTAGTGGAGCAGAGAGGAAGGTTATTCCACAGTCATCAGTATTCACAGGATGAACACTGTACTGGTAAAGAGTAAAAAACAGCATTGGTTGCATAATTTTCACTTTGCATCATGTTCAGATGCATAACAACCTTGAATTTTCTAAACGCACTGAATAATCGGTGGATTTTAAGAGGCCAGTTCAGCCAAGATAAGTGGATGAGACTGAACTGTGGTACACCGAGAAATCAACTATTATTCTGCAGAAATTAATTAGTGAAATTAAGTTAATTTCTGCAGAATACATAATCAATCTGAAAGGAAACAAACTGTTGAATTCACAACCGAATCAAAACAATTAGAAAACAGAAGATTATAGGAATACACGATATATATCAGGCCTGATAAATTAGCTAAGCTAAATTCTACTGTGTTCTCCATATTAGGAATCACATTCAAATGAACAATCCCCACCATGAATGCACTGTGATGCTGTGCAGAATAGGTTCATGTTTCTTTACTGAGGCACAATAAAAGAGGTCGGGAAAGTCCTGGTGGAGCTGCATGAATTACAGAAAAAGAGTAACTTTTGGTAAAAGTTTCGGATGAAGCACAAGACTGTGGACTGATTTTAAGGAAGTTAAAAGTTGTAAAATATGGATGTTTTGATACCGTGGTCCATTTGCATTGAAATGGGGCCATTAGTCAAAGCTCCAGGAAAGGAAGTGACAAAATATGGCAATTTGGGAGGTAAAGGATGTCGACAGATTAATGGCCGCTGTGCTCTGTACCTGAAAATTGGGCCGAAGCAAAACTCCCATGAGGTCTGACCAGAGAGAATTAAGTGGTAGATGTGTGTGTGTGCGTGCGTGTGTCATAGATCTGTTGCTTAATCCTCTGAATACTTTCTATCTGCTGTATTCTTCAGATATTCATCATCACAGATGTCACCTGCTTGGGTAAGGACAGACACTCATTACACAGAAAGGGAAGAAGAAGAAGAAGTAAAATAAAGAGTAGGCATGACGCGCTCCCAGACTGAGGGACTGTGGGTCTCAGAAACCTCGGCCCCAGCCTCCTGGTGCCCTCAGACAGCTGTGCAGTCCAGCTGTGCACAAAACACCAGCTAGGAATACCAAACCAATCCAGGAGATGAGAGAAGGTCACGAGGAAAGGAGGTTGGAGGGTGGGAAAGTGGAAAATCTAGATTAGAGCTGCGTGGTCTTTCAATTAAGGAACATTATTGTATATTGATGTCTTCAAATGTCTAAATGTCAAAGATGATCAGTTCAAGACTAAGAAAACAGAAAATTCTTTCCATTTTAGAAGCTGGAACAATGACTAACTTATCATCATAATGTTCTGTAGATCAACTAATCAATTACTCGACTAATTAGATAGACGTCTCGGACCTCTGTTTTTAATAAAACTGTATAAAGTACGTAGACTAAAGATACTCTATGGAGCAATGTTTTAATAAGCGGTCCCTGTTGTGTTTATATCTCATATTTTATAGCTCTACTAACACAGGGATGAGAACAAGTAATGAACTGACTGCAGGGAGCGGTAATACAAAGGATGGACATGAATTAAAACGAACTGTCGCTCCTCGACAAGAGAGGAAGAAGAGTGCTGGACGATAGAAACAATAATGGGTCAAACACTTTGAATTAGCGAAGATGTGTGGTTTGGAACAAAGAGCAGCATGAAGCGATGAAACAAAAACAGATTAGAACTTTATGATCAAAGTTTGTGATTTAAAGTTGGCAAGTGAAACTAAAATATTTTTTAAAAGGATTTTTTTGTCACCGATCTGTGTTGACAAGGGAAGAAAAACATGAATTGCGTGCATGCTATTTGCATGCTATTCACACACACACACACACACACACACACACACACAAAGTGTTTACAAAACTGATTTCTGTGACTTGTGATCTGAATCACCCTGCCACAGTAAAACCGGTCTGGTTTTCCACACAGGTTAAAAGAAACTATTAAATTTCCTCTGAAGGAATGAAGGAGTGACGGTTAAGGCCAACTGCGCTCGCTTTGTTTTGTCAACATACTGCATGTTGTGGATCCAGCATGTTGCCTGAGTTTTAGTGTAGCAGCAGATCCTTAACTACACCATGAAACACACAGCGAGTCTTCAGCAGAATGAGATTTAGAGATACAGTCGTGATGTATTCCTTCTTCTATCGTGTGCAGACATAATGACCCCGAGGCCTATTTAGCGTCACGGCTCATTGTTTGAAAAAGCCACAGCGAGTCACAGTGTTGTTATTATTTTTAGGAGCGTCTTAAACACTGTGCAACATCACTAATTACAGCCAGCGACAGGAGAGTAAATCCAACACAATGGGACACTACGTAAACAAAGAAACCCACAAGATACTGAAGCAGCATTGGGTTTGACATGCCGGTCCCCGAGGAAAACCAGAAACACAAAACAGTCTTCATGTTGCCCGACAGCAGAACACCTCCCACTTTGTTCCCATTGTTGTCTTGTCTTCTAAAGTTTCCCTCTTTCTATTTGTTCTTCGGCGGAACGGTTTGCGTAGTCGTCACACGAAGAATGGAGGGACTTCACCTCCAGGTAAACGGCTCAAGGGCAGAAATTCACAGCAGCGCGACAGAAAAACACATTATTATGAAACAGGGGCTTTTAGACTAATAATGACCTCATCCACGTCTCCCTAATCTCCCAAAGTCAAACCAACAAGGTGTGTTCCAACGAATAAATAATTAAAAGATTAAGGCCACACACCCACATGAACACTATGTGCACATACTATAGTTAACCTCTTGATATCACATGAAAAGGCGACACGCTGCTACCTCAGAGGATGTTCTGATGATTAGAGATTCCTCAAAGGGCAGTGTGAACAGATCTGCCACCTTGCATTAGAAACCACACATCTCTACAACAGGAAGCATTCCAAAGAAACTATTTCATCTAATGTCAGCCAGCTCGGACATCAATAACAACGCAGACAGCTGGTTATAATACTGATGAAGGAACACAAACGGGAATATATAAAAAGAGGAAGTGAGCAAGAAGCAGTAGAGGGAAAAGGTGAGAGCAGGCAGGTGATGGATGTTTACAACTGACGGTTTGGGTGATAATTTCTCCACTCGCCTTTGTTTTCTCTTCCAAAAATGTTGAGTTAACCCGGGGGGGTGTTTGAAACCTGTCTGGCTGCTCTTGTTTTTTGCCCCGTCTGACTTCTTTTTAGCCATGTGGCCATCGTTAGATCATCCATCTAACTACAAAAGGTTGTATCAAACCAGAGTAATACCTTAAAACCAACAAATAATCCGTTGTGGTTTAGAAATCTGTGACTTTTGAAGTTCAACAAATCTCTTGTTGAATAACTTATCTCTGTTCTACAGAGTATTGAACCTGGAGTCCTTTAAATGTTAGTCTTTCAGTTGTAGTTCTTAAAAGTCACCGTGTGTCATTTGGGGGGGGGGGGGATCAATTGGCAGAAATGGAATATAACATTATTAAGTAAGATAAGAATGTGTTTTTGTTAGCTTGGAGTGAGGCGTTTATATCTAGATACGGAGCAGGGTTTCACAGAACCGGCCACCGTGTCTCTACGGAAGCCCAGAATGGACAAACTGAACACAGCCTCCAGAGAGGGACATTAGCGTTTTTGCATCGGCCTTCAGAGTTCTCCTTCACGCTTGATCAGTTGGTTTGCGATCTGAAACATCACTGCTAGATCACCAAATCCTGCAAACTAGACCTTTAAATACTACGTTTATTATAACGACTTAAACAATAATAAAGATGGCATCGGATGCTTTGTCAAATTCTTCTCTTCTTGAGACTATTGTTTTAAGTTATCTGTTTACTTGATACATTTTGCCAAATGAATAAGAGAGTTAAAAACAATGTTCACAGACTACGTTGTTGAAAAAAAGTACTGTGTCATTTTGGATTCAAAACTCTATATTAACTCAGAAATTGTCTCCTCCCCAAACAAACCACATGCATAGCTTCAACAAGGATCAAAGAACGCTGCATTCATAAATACAAACTGGATTCAGATGAGAACAAATAAAAACCGGTTCCTAAAACATGCAGAGTCATCATATACCTGTCATGTAGAAATAGCTCCACACAGACGCCAACGCCCCGATATGCTGACGAAGCAGTTCCTCTGAGGATGTTTGAGGGAAGGTTGCCATGAGCTTATAAAAATCACTGGAGACATTA